GTATATGGTTTTTTGTTTGTCTTAGTTGTGTGCTAGAAACCAAACCCAGGGCCTTATGTGTGCACCAAGTACTCCAACATTGAACTACAATCTCAGTTCACTTGTAATTATTTATCAGGTTTTACTACTCTAAAAAGCAAACCCAACAATCTCTTTGTGAGAGATTGTTTTGAGAAAGTGCATTTAGTTTAGTTGAAACTCAAAACTAATCTTGTAAAATGTTGCCTTAATGTTATCCTGAAGATTAATTTCATTTTTCAAATAATAGCTTTGAAATACCATTGAACACTGTTCTTCATTTCTTTTCATATTATAGTTAAACATTTTCAATGTGTTGATACATTAAATGGTAGCTCTTTCATTTATCTAGTCAATATATATGTGAGGGGCTTGCAGTAATATTTAGCTTTATGCATGTGAATAACTCTGTGTGCTTGGATGAATGGTTCCAGGACATCCTGTGTATAACAAGATGCATAGATGCTCAAATTGCTTGTATAAAATGTCATAGCATTTGTAGATAACTACATAGAGCTTCACATACACTGGAAATTTTTAGATAACATATACTTAATGCAGTGTAACCATTGAACACATAGTTATGAAACTGTTATTTAGGTTGTAATGACAAGAATGTACATCTACATGCTTTGTTGTCTTTTGCCTTGTTTTGTTTTGTTTGTGGTACTAGGGTTGAACCCAGAGCTTCATACTTGCTGTGCAAGTGTTATAACACTTTAACTGAGCTTCTAGTCCTTTGTTTTGTTTTGTTTTTAATTTGATTTTGATTTGATTTTTTAATAGGCTTTCACTAACTTTATTTGGGCTGCCCTGACGTTGTGCTCCTCTTGACTCTACCTTCTGAGTAACTAGGATTACAGATGCTTGATACCATGCCCAGTGAATTCTTCTGTTTTTTTTTTTTTTTCTTTTTGTGTGTGTGATTATTTTTCTACTGTTTTCAGTTCACCATTAGTTTAATCACAGAGGACCAACTGTATATGTTTATATATACACATGTCTTTGTGTGTACTTTACTATAAAATGGTGTAATTAAATAATACTTGTTATATTGTATACTCATGTAGTCATTTCTGTGCTCTATTTATTATTGTGTATCTCTCTTTCTGGGCTATGAACTTCCATTATGGTTAGGGGCTATCTAGTCTTGTTTATTCACTTTCTTGTCTGCCTTACATATAGGCATTTAATAGTTATTGTAGTAAACAGTGATGAATGATTGTTAAGCAAATGGGGCTTTTAGAGAGAGTAATGTTGATGAAACTAGAGAATGAAAACATTTAAGAAATAAACCTATGAATTAAGATTTTCAATAATAATTGCAATTTTAGAGTTTTGGGAGGATAGTAAATCTGTTGTTCTTAAATTTATCTATTCTCCTCTTGGTAATGGTAATACAATGACAATAAAATAGTGTTTTCTTATAACAACAAAATGGTTGTCCAGCTTACTGATAGAATAGGTTAAAAAAATGGAATAATGATGTAGAAAAAAATCTAGAAGATTATAGTATTTGGAAGGTTATATCTATATAATCATTAGAAATATATAAGCCAGTAAAATACCAATAAAATCTCAGAAGTAAATTGGAGCTAACCATTCAGTCTGAAGTAAAGATGGAATTTCAGAAATTTTGTATGACATAGACTATTCAATTTATTCAATCAATAGATTGAATTTATTTAAGAAAGGGAGACTATTCAGTAAACTTAAAATTAATCTTGTTCAAAGCAAAATTAAACTTCTACCAGGTAAAAAATGGGGGAAACTATATTCTTTTTTCTCAACATGAATGAAGTTTTTCAGGCATGAAAAAAATCATGAAATTATTCATTGACTATTAATGAGTATAAATATAGTATGATATAAAATATCAAAGTTAATGATGAATGTTTAACATGGGAAATCGTTTGTACCCAAAATGACAAAAAAAATCTCATTGGTAAAGAACTGATACAAATGATTAAGGAAAGTTAAATATTACACTATGACAAAATGTACAACTCATTAGGTAAGAATTGCCAAAAAAGATTTTTTTCCATCTCAAAATGACTACGTTTTTCTGTGAAGTTGGAGAAGATTATTTTAAGCAGTACCAGTGCTATGAGAATGGTGAGATGGTGATTTGTCTGTTCTACAGATGTCTCACCCAGACACTCGAGTTGTAGAAGTTCATTCTACAGAATTTGTCTCAATAGGCAAAAAGATAGCTACACAGATATTTATGGAAATTTTAACTTCTTTCTTTTGGTTTTTTGGATACCTTGTCTACTTTCATTCTTCTGTTTTTGCTTTTCTGTAGTTTTCTACATTAAGTAGCTGTATAACTTAAGTGATGTTTTTAAAGTTTGATTTCAGCTTTTTGGGGGTGACTTCCATGTTATTCTGAGAAGCATTGATTTTAAAAGGTTTTAATGAAACTATTGGGTCACCTTAAAAGATTAATGTGTTGTGTAGAAGTTTGTTCTAAATCACTAGTAAATTGTCAATGGATTATAAGGTGGCTTAAAGGAGGGATGGATGAGAATGTTGAAATGGGTGACATTGATCAAGATGCAGTATATTCATAAACTGCTTTGTTAAGTGGCAATTCCTTTGTACAAGAACTTAAAATTAAAATTGTAAAATTAATAAAAGAAATGGAAAGACTTGGAAAAAATTATATTACACGAAGTAAGCCAGACCCAAAGAAACATAGGTCCCATAGTTTCCCTTATTTGTAATAACTATTATAAGTCTAGGACAAGCAAAAAAGATCAAAAGCATATGACTATAAAAGATGAGGTTAAGTGAAATGAGCCTGAAGATAGGGACACAAATGGTTTCTTCTTTCTGGCTATTGTTTTTAACATATCTAAAATGTACTATGTGGTGTTTTTTTTTTTTTTGTTTCTTTGTATGTTCTTCCCCCACGGTATAACATAATCCCTGTTTTCACTGTATTTGATGTTGGTGCCCTGCATCTTGTATATACATTTTTCTAATTTGGGGATGGGAAGGGAAATAATAAACTGCTGACCCACGGATACAGGTTGACCCATTGTAACAATGAGATGTTCAAGATTCTATGTTGAAAACGAACTTTACAACTTGGTGGAATAAGGGAGGAGTTGAGGTGGGGAGGAAAGGGATGTAGGGGAAAAACAAAGGAGGAGGTAACAATGCTCGATAGGAAATATACTCATTACCTTATTCTTGAAACTGTAACCCCTCTGTACACTATTTTTACAATTAAAAATCATAAAAAATGTTATTAAAATAGTCTTTCAAGGTTACTGTTAAAAATGAAATGTAGTGTTTTCTCTCATATTATCTTTATGTTAACAACTGGCTTCCTAAGACTAATACAGCAGACTAGAATGTCCATAGAGCTGTGTGAGTCTTTTCTTCAACATAGAGGAAACCTCTATTTCTACCAGCAAAAAGCTTCTCTCCACTTGGCTCCTATATTTTAGTTTTATTTCATCAAAAGGTGGTATTTTCTCTTGTCTTTTAATAAAAAGTAACCTTTGTTATTCAGCCAAGGCAAAGTGGTAATTTTCTCACTTTAAGAAGCAGGGTGCTTTGGGCTTACTTCTATAATCCTAGCTACTCAAGAGGCTGTGATCTAAGGATTGTTGTTTGAAGCCAGCCAGGGCAGAAAACTTTATGAGATTTTCATCTCCAAATAACCACCAGAAAGCCAGAAGCAGAGCTATAGCTCAAGTGGTAGAACTCAAGCCTTGTGTCAAGAACATGAGGCCCCTATTCAATCTCTAGTTTTGGCCTAAAAAGGGGGGAAGAAAAAGCAGAGGAGAATATAATCTGACTTGTTAAAAATGTGACTTTTTATATTTAAGGGGGAAAACTAAATCTACAAGACCAATCACTAACGTATAATTTTGGTTTTTGTTTTGTTGTGTTTTTTGCCAGTCCTGGGGCTTGAACTTAGGACCTGAGCACTGCCCCTGTGCTTATTTTGCTCAAGGCTAGCTCTCTACCACTTGAGCCACAGCACCATTTCTGGCTTTTTCTGTTTATGTGGTATTGAGGAATTGAACCCAGGGCTTCATGCATGTTAGGCAAGCACTCTACCACTGAGCCATATTCTCAGCCCCTAACGTGTAGTATTTTATGTCTCCAAAAAATATATGAACAGTGGACTTTTAGAATAACTTTGTAAAGAGAACTTGGTAACTAATATCCTTTTTTTTACTATGCCTGTTTGTAAATCTATAATTAACCCCAATATAAAGGAGAATATTTTATTGATTAACTCATTGAATACATAAAAAAGCATTTTTATATTTCAAGTAGTGAAGAAAAATACATTTCTTTTCTGGTAAACATGCTGAAATTTTTATCATAAAACTGTTTTCTATTACACCTACTAAAGGTTGTTGCTTTTATTATCCAGCATTCCTAGCTAGCTGACTTCAGCTCTTCCTAAATCTACAGACATCCTAATTTTGAGCCATTATATAATGAAAACATTGGATGCAATTTCCTTAGGTCTACAGTTCTTACTTGCCCTTGCTGCCTGATATTTATACTGTAGCTCATGATTATAATTTGCATAAATGAAATTCATATTTATGAGTAGAGATCTTGAAGCAAGTGACAGGTGCAAGGTTTTCTAACGTGCCAAATTATTGTCATTTCATTTAAAAGAAAACTATTCTCCATGTTTTAAAGAAGAATATGTGTAGTGGTCGCATTGGAATCAAATTCTAAAAGTAGATAAAACCTTATTTTTGGTTTGTATTTTTATGGCATTCTATGTAAAATGAACATCATGGGAGCAAGCATTTGTTGAAAAAGCAGTAGCAGATTAGAGTTGTGACTTAGTAATAAAATACTTGCCTGCCATGTAGGAGGCCTGGCAATCCCCAGTACCATACTAAAAGAAAAAAAGGAAAGAAAAGAAATAGAAAGCATTTATGTGAATTGATACTGTCAGTATCCTTGCCTTGATTATTTCCCTTGATCTTGTGTTTCAGGGTATGCATGAGCTCTTAGCACCTATAGTCTTTATTCTTCACTGTGACCACCAAGCTTTTCTACATGCCAGTGAGTCTGCACAGCCCAGGCAAGTTTCTATGAATTCAATCTTTTTTCTCACCCTTACTGTCACTTTTTTTTTGTAATCTCAAAATTGTTTCAAATAGAAGATGCTTCTTTTCCTGAGTAGTGGACATTTGGCTGTTTCAAGAGGATAACTGTTAGTTCCATCTCATTGTTCTGCTGCCAGTTTCATTCATCAATGTCTTGGAAAATGTTCGGTCTCTGTCCAAGGAAGACATCTAATTATTAATCAAAAAAGCAATATTTAAGCCAGCAACAAAAATTTTAATGATTCTTCCTGGTCATTTATACTATCCTCTAATGACTCAGATTTCTGAGATACTTTCTCCTAGCCAGCTTTCATTTATCTTGGTTCATAAGTACAGGAGCTAAGTAAGCTACCTAGAACCTGGGCATAACGTAAGACCCTATCTCAAAAATAGGACAGGAAGGGCTGCAAGTATGGCTCAAACAACCTGCCTAGTAAGAATTCAAACCCCAGTACCATTAAAATAAAAGAAGACTTCTTTTAACATTGCATATTTAGTCAGTAAATTTGTGTTTGTTATTTGGTTTTAGAGAATAAGTAATATACAGTGGAGTAGTAACTTGTTTAACTGTATTGTTACATACTCTATTTGTTATTTGAAAGAAATAGTTAATTCCCTGTAGCACAGATAAAGAAGCTAATTTGTTGTTGATCATTTAAAAATTTTATTTATATATTTATTTGTTTTCTGAATTTCCAAAGTGGTGTTGAACTTTACCATAGAAGGAATTTTATTGTTAATTGTAGTGATGTTTCAAAAAGCAGTTTTACATTATATGAAAAGTCAGCTTAAGAATGTAGAATAAGGCACACTATCCACTTGGATTATAAAAAATTTTATTTTAATTAACACATTTTAATTGTTTTTATTACTTTTCATTACTTAAGTGAGGAAATGAAAACGCTCTTGAATCCAGAGTATCTGGAACATGATGCCTAGTAAGTATAAAATTCAATATTTTTTCATTCTTATCCCATCATCCTTTAATGACAATTATACATAGCATTATTTTATTTTTTAATTTTTAGTGCAATGTTCTCACAGCTTATGGAAACTGCTGAGCCTTGGTTTTCTACTTTTGAGCATGATGGTCAAAAGGTAAATTCCACAGTATAGATGTTTACAATATATTTGAATGGTCAAATCTTTTCTGTGTATAAAACAAATAATAGTTTCATAGACATTTTATTGCAGTACAGAATATTCAACCAGTATTGCTATAAGAAAATACAAATATCTTGTAGACTAGGATTGAACAATAATGTAACAATAATGACAGATACACAAAAGCAATATAATTATTTCATATGAATAAACTTTATATGTTTATATTAGTCATGCAGTTTGTTACTTTATTATGTAAGTTATTATAAACTTTTTATTGTTATACTAGTTCCATTTATTCATACTGTTCATAAAGTTTATAGATAAAATGTGTATCAGAGATTAGAATCAATATCCCTTTCCCTTTTGCTTATTTTTACTCATATACCATGACATTCACATTGGTTTTGTTTTTTGTTTTTTTGACATTCATATTGTTATAGTGTACGTTTTAGAGTTTTTGTAAGGTTTTACAAATGAGGCACTGTATGTGATTGAAATAATTCAGGGATGCCAAATTAGTAGAGAATAAAACTATTATAAAATGGCTTTTAAAGAATCAGAAAAAAATCTACTATACAGCTAAACTGAGAATTCATAACCTGAAAATCATGAAAGGGTGTTGTATGTAAATGATAATAATGCTGAAGTTCAAATTGTCAGAAGAGAAATCAAACAGTCTCTTAGGGAAAATCATCAGAATGAATGATTAAATGATAAACTTTAAATGAAAATTTGAAGCATTAAAATGACTTAATGATTTATCTCTCAGTAGATAGCAGGAAAGGGAAGTTTGGTTAGAGCTAACTAACTATTTTTAAATATGCTGTTCTTTTGGTCCATAGAGTTTCAAATTTTTTTCAGCTATTTACATCATAAAAGGACAATTAGAGAATATCTTAATTTCTAGTAGTGATTTTCTTAATATTCCTTCCCTTTTTGTAAAGTTTTGAAAGCTCAGTGTTTTTGTTTATTGTTTTGCATGCTTAATTTTCTGCCACAAGAAAGTTTTCACCAAATTGTCCCATTTATATACTGTGGCTGCTCATATAAACTGGCCATGATAGCTTGTAGTGGTCTCTACCTCTTCTAATAAAAAAAAAATCCAACTTTGTAATACATAATGTCACTAGACAAAATGTCATGAAAATGTAAGTTAAACATATTTTAGACCACATTTCCTAGACATTGCTTTATGACTAGTCACTGATATTTCAGCATATTATTCCAAAGCATTTACCATGAAGCAATTAAAGTAGTTTTTATTCTTGTTTAAATTCCTTTTTATAAAATATTGGACTGATGTCCATGTATTTGTCAATTTCATATTAAACTAATACTTGTTCCATTTTTCCTGTTGATAGGGCAAAGAAACTCTGATGACCCCAATTCCTTTTGCTAGACCACAGGATTTAGGGCCAACAATAGCTGTGGTTACTAAAGTCAACCAGATTCAGGATCATCTACTGAAGAAGCATGATATTGAGCTCTATATGCATTTGAACAGACTAGAAATTGCACCACAGATTTATGGGTTGTAAGTATAAAAATTTCTGTTTTAACTATATCTAAGTACCATGTGTGGTAGTTTCTTTGTGTCCAGATCCCTATAACTAAGAGTTAAGAACTCTTCTAGCAACATTCTATTTCATCTTATCTAATATTTACATCAACCTTGTAAATTGGGTACTATTCTTTGTTATAGATGGAAAACTAAGACTTAGATTAACTATGCATAGTAAACAGAGAAGTTTATAAGTAAAACTGAGGCATAATTGGCTGAATAATTTACTGCAGAACCCAGTACAAAAGAAAGAATACAGGCCTGGTTTGAAAAAATTTCAAGATGGCAAAGAGCTGTCTTGAAAGATAAACTAAGTATTCTAAGAAAATACAGTTATACATCTCATATACAAATAAAGAAAACCCCTCAACTTAAGCAATCATATAAAATGGATGTGTGCTTTTCATTTTTTTCATGTCACTTAGTGAACATAGTGTATTCAGTTTCTTCAGCCAAAGAATTTCTGTACCTAGCAGAAGAATAGGAAGCTAGTCACTCATTAAATATGTATATATCCATCTGTGTGTATGTATGTGTGTATGTATGCCTGTTCATATTTTTCAGTGCCTTGAAAGATACATATGCAAACTAGAAAAAGAGATTTTAATTAGAATTAATTTTTATATAACAAAAGGTTTATTATATTGAAATAGAATTTTTATGTGTACTGCTGAGCAGTTATTGGGTAGAATATATGAAAGTAAGATTATATTATTGATATACACTTAGAAGATGCTCAATAAAATATACACTTATTATTTGAATTATGAAAGACCTTGAGTATTTCCAAAGTTGGAACCAAAGAAGTGATTCTGTGTTTTTGTTTTTCCATATTACACAGTCTTTTACTGATAATAACGAAGTTGTTATTCTCTGGAAACCCTGAACTATGATTGAAGAAATCTAGGTTTTTTATTTTTTTAATTTTTTTTATTGTTTAATGTAAAGATGAGGAATGGGGGGGTGGGGGTTACGGTTACATCAGTAAGGTAATGAGTGCATTTGTTTTTGAACACTGTTACTCCCTCATTTTCTCACACTTACCCCTACCTGATTCCCTCCCTGCAAAGTTATAAAGTTCATTTGCAATATAGTGTCTAGTGAGTATCTTTGTTGCATTAGTTCATCCTTTTCTTGTTTTTATACTGATTGCAGTTTTTTTCTGTGAATTAATCTTGATCGCATCATTGAGAACAGCTCTATTGTTAACCACTAGAAATGAAAATGTTACATGTGACATGGATATTGGGCAGATTATTAATTTAAACTAGTAAGTCAGCTAATAACACATTTGTAGCATAAAAATTTCTGTTAAAACAATAGTGATAAAGTTAGCATTTATACTCTATTCCTCTTCACTGTGTACTATGTTCAAATATATAAGCACCTTAAACCCTTATAACACATTGTTTGCTAAATATGAAGCTGGCCTTTAATATTGAGGAAGGAAGTTGGTATTGTATATGTTTATGATTTTTCTTAAAATGCCTTACAGTGTTTTTCCTTTTTGTCTGCATTGGTGCTTTACATCGTGATGGTGATGGCAAGGGCCTACAGACAGTAATTTGTAAGTAGGGAGTTTTAGTTTTCTTTACCATATCAGATATTGATTTTCTTCAGTTTTATATTCTTCCAGTCAGTTTATAGAACTTCTTGACATCCTGAGTAGTAATTCCATGATACATGGTATACACTCAATCCCTCCCACCTTATAAAAATTTCCTAACAAAATTATGACTTGTACTAACCATAGCTGCCTTATTTGACCCAGTAATTTGTATACAATATCATCTTCATTCTGTCACTTGCTCCTCTCCCCTCTCCTTTTGGAATTGAGATGGAGTTTTGCTCTATGCTGCAGACTAACCTTCAACATCTAAATCTCCTGCCTCAGCCTCGCAAATGCTCGGATTACAGTTTGCACCACCTTTTCAGCTAACTTATGTTTAAATTATGTAATGTGTTCGTTAAAAAAGAGATTATTCATGTTTCCTGTTGTCCTGTTTTACATTTTATATTGTAAGAATGTTTTCCATACCACTTTTGATTTTGTGAAGGGCAGTACTGGTTTTTGAACTGAGAATCTTGTGCTTGCTAAGCAAGTTTTATATACACTTGAGCCATGCTACCGGCCCTCTCATTTCACTTTTACTTTTTTTTTTATTATTTATGAAGGACATGAAAATCTATGCTTGAGTAATATTGTGCCCTTGTTATAAGATATACTACCCATCTATATACTTCTTATTGATGATTAAGCAGAAATATTTTGAGGGTAAAACTATTTTTTTAAATTTTGAGGTATTTTCACTAATTACTATTTGAGGTTACACCAAACTAAGTTGCAGGTAAAAGTACAGTATGTTATAAAATAATATACTTGGAAAGTAAACAGTGCTATACTTTTCATTAACTTTATAGAAAATTACTTATGTTGCATTTAGAATTATGTTTCTCTTACTATAATTCAAGTAATTAATATCTTAATTATTTTTTAATAATTATGCTTGCCAATTATTGATTTGTATTGCGCTTCTTTAAAAATTAAGTTTTCTAAGAACTTGTCAGAATACACTGACTAATTTCCAATGTAAAATATTAACTGCATTATTGCTAGCTAGCTTGTAAATAACTTTTAGGTTATTTTTGTAGGATTTTTTAATGTGCATAAAGTCCTATGATTTCATTATTTGGTTATGATTCTGTAGAAATATCTCACATATTTATGTTTCAGCTCTGTCACTGTTCACATATGGTGTGAGTCCAAAAAATGCTTAATCAAAGCAGATTCATGTAAACATTCTGTAATTTTTCACTTGATGCTTTTCAGTATTCCTTTATAATGAGACCAAAATTCTTACTATCACTTTAAATATATGTATAATCTGTAAAATTTTGACTACATTTTACACTTTGATATAAATAGAGTTCCTATTAAGCATCAATGGGACATGCAATTAATGTCACTTTTGAGGTAAGACCTTCATAACATACTTGGGCTGTGGCACACTTAAATTATGAGCTCTTTACAACACTCCTGGGCTAAATTCCATATTCCCAAAATGCTTATTATACATCTTTCTTGTCTATTTCCTATTTTCTGGGTTAGAATTTGTGTTGCTGTGGGGGTTCATAGTAATTTAATTGGGGGACACCTTGATTATTGATAAACCTGCTAAAATTTGCAATACAATTTACAAGTATTAGTATCATAGTGTATCCATTTTAGCACAGTGTAATTAACAGGTGAGTACAAAGTTTTTTAAAGCTACTTTTGACATATAAAGATTAAAAATATTATTCTTAGTCATCAAAAGTTGAGTTTAATTATTCACCTTCAAATTATCTCTCTAGTTAAAGTGGTAAAATAAGTGATATCAGAAAAGAATAAAAGCACTTTAAGGCTAACAGTAGGTGGCTTCAACAGTTTTCTTATTCTCTTAAGGCATACAGCAGGTTGACTTTTGGTAAGGCCATACCATAATTCTCTTTATACTTATGAGATGGAATATGCTCATAAATTGGTTGTAATTTAAGATATAGAGTTGATTTGGAAGTATTAACAATTCAGATTAAGAAAGTATGATAAAAGAGATCAGAAAGCTTCTGTTGAGAGCTCTTGAGAAACTAACATAAGACTTTTCTAGAATATTCTACTTTTACTGCTTCAGTTATATTACACAGTTTTTAATTTTGATTCCATAAGTTTCTAAATATATACTTACCTAATTGTATATAGATCTGTTTCCACCACCATCACAAAAACAAAGTAACAAAATATATTGAAAACATCTTGCTTTTGAAACAAAAAAAAAATCTCAATAGTTTCAGTAAACAACTAATGATTGCGATAGTCCTTTTATTTTTGGTCATTTATATTAGGCAGTAAACATAAGACATGTAGTATGAGGGATTAGATGGGGAAAATCGAATGTAAGCTTCTTTTTATATCCTCCACAATTATTTCTTCTGAAAAACATTGATGTTTTCTCCTTATATATGAAATATATATAAAGTTCCATGTGTCAGATTGGACCATGAGTCACATTTATATGCATCATCAGATAAGCTTCAAGGACACAGGCAGGGAAAGGCCTGGAATTTTTTAGATTAAGAGTAATCAGGAGTTAACCTGCTAAGGAAGGATTAGGAAATGAAAGCATTAGATAGTTGAAGGCTCATAGCCATGCCAAAAATCTGGACTAAAATAGCTCAGGACATTTTAAATAGGATATACCATCAGCACAATTATAACCCCAATAATAAACAAGAACCTTAGGCTTAAATTTTCTTACACAAGTCCAAATACCATCTTTGTTTAGATAAGACTAGTAGATACTTAATAAGGAAAGGGAAAGAATCTATTACTTTAATCCTAAACTTGATCTATAAAATGTTAATTGCTGTGGAAAAAAATAGAACCTTCTCTGGCAAAATGACCATATAGTTTAGTGCAAAAGAATCCAATTGGGCATGTTAGGTCACACATGCACAAGCTTACAAAAGGTACCACCCACATGCCATTCTAGGTAGAAATGTAATTACCACTGACAGGTAATAAAAGTTAGTAATTCAAGCAAACGAGAAGCAAAGTGTAAGAGCTGGAAAAGCAATGTAACTAATTAGATATGGTTGACTCTCTTCAACTGAATGCAGTTGTCAAAAATAATCATCTGGAGAGCTGTAAAAATAATTTAAAACATTTTTATTTTAAATATATCAAATCCTTGGAAAAAATTTTAAGCATGAAGGAATTACAAAAGTTTAACTAAAAGCCTTTACAATTCTCTAGGCAGCAACTGATAATAGCAATAGAGAAGAGAGATATGTTTTTAAAATGTTTTCAGATAGAATCTATGATCTGTTAATAACTTCCCTACTTCTTGAAAGAATAGAGGTCAAAATAGATTTGAGCCATTATAGCTTCAAATCATCCAACTTATTACCCCATTGGACAAGTTTTTGATAATGTT